TTTTTTTTTTTTTTTGGCTTATAGTAGTGTGTTGCCTGGTTTGTTTTCGTTTCGTTCTGTGGACAGTTATGTGAAGAAGTTGATTAACTTTTGTATGCTTTGGGAACCTTATTTTTTTCTTGCACATTTATGGCTTGATTAGGCAACAAGTACATCTATATTCGTGTCTATTTTCTGGTGGTTGTTCGTACGCACGCAGATGACGAGTATGTTTCGTATCTGTAGTACAAACATATAAATTTACACATAGAAAGTAGAACACGAGTAATAATAACATAACATTGTAGAAGAAAATAAACATAAAATATCTATCTGGAGCAAAATATCTAATTTTGCAATAAAGCCCCCGCCATTTAGTTCAATTTTTTTTAAACACCCAAAACGACGCAGTCCTCCTAAAATGAAACGCTGAAGAAAAGAAGAGAAAATAGCAGAAATGAATGAAACAGAAAGAGAAGACGCAGCTTCCCAAATCACATGCACATGCAATATATATGCACACGTGTACTCAGCACGTGACTTCAAAGCAGACTGGCCTCCAATATCTTCATATATAAGACGTTGAACCAGACTGGCTTCCAATATTTTCTTCAACATATTATATGAAAAATGTTAGAGTAGAGAACACAAAAAAGTTAAAAACAAAATATAAAATCAAAATTAATAACTAAATTATATATATATATATTGTTGGAAACAAACATCACCATAGTTGATTGAAAAACAAGAAATCTCAAGAACACTTTGAAAACAAGAGCAGCTGTGAATATTATGTAATCAATGGATAAAGAGTGGCTGTTACATCAAGGCTTTATATAGCCTGTTAAGAAAGACCTAGAATCATAAAGAATAAGAGCTATAATGATGAGGTGTCCCTAAATGACAAGGAGCCAAAGAGCTCTAACAAACTGCACAAGAAGCCAAGGAAACGGCTAGTGCATGTTGTACTAGAAAGAGAAAAGAAGCAAGTGCATGGAGTGTGCATGTGAGAGAAAAATGAAAAGTAATGAGGGAGATTAATACACTAAACAAGACTTAGGTTAATCTAAATGAATATCTAACAGTCCCCCCGCAATTCAAGCGAGCCGAGAGGAACAACTCTTAATTTGTTGCGCAAGCGAGAGAAGAATTGGCCCGTGAGTGGTTTGGTCAAAGAATCTGCAGTCTGATCAATAGCTGGAATGTGAAGGACAGATATGGACCGGTTAAGAACCTTTTCTCTGATAAAATGGAGATCAACTTCAATATGTTTGGTTCTTCCTTGTATAACTGGATTACAAGACATGAAAACTGTGCTGAGGTTGTCTACCCAGATGGTAGGAGGAGGTAGTTTTCTAATGTGGAGCTCATGAAGAAGGATCTTGATCCAAGTAACCTCAGAAACAGCAGCTCCCAAACTACGGTATTCAGCTTCTGTACTACTCCTGGAAACTGTGTTTTGTTTTCTTGAGCTCCAAGAGATCAAATTGTCACCAATAAAAACACAATGACCAGATGTGGACTTGCGGTCATCAGGATCAGAGGCCCAATCGGAGTCAGAAAAAGCAGTGAGAAGAAGATTGGAAGACTTGGCAAAGAAGAGACCATAATCTGAAGTACCAACAAGATATCGCAGGAGCCTCTTCATGGCTTTCCAATGTGGCTCAAGGGGAGATTGCATGAATTGGCTAAGCTTGTTGACTGCATATGTGATGTCTGGTCTTGTGATAGTTAAGTATTGAAGACTTCCTATCAACTGCCTGTATTGGTAAGGATCAGAGAGAGAATTGTCATTGAACTTAGACAAAGCAGGTGAACTGACCATAGGAGTACTAAGAGCTTTTGAATTCTCCATGTGAGCTCTTTGAAGAATCTGAGAAATGTAATGCTGTTGGGTCAGCAATAAGCCACCCTTAGTGTAAGGATCTTCATGCCTAGGAAATGGTGTAAATCACCCAAATCTTTCAAAGCAAAGGCCTTTGTTAAAGAAGAAATAATATCATCAATGGTAGAGACTGAATTCCCTGTGATTACAATGTTATCTACATAAACAAGTACATAGATGATATATAGAGAAGAAGCTTTGATGAATAAAGAAGTATCAGCAAGGGATTGCTTGAAACCCAAGGCAATGAGAACCTGAGTAAGTTTATCAAACCATGTTTTGGATGCTTGCTTAAGACCATAGATGGCCTTGTGGAGTCTGCAGCCATAACCAAGGCCCTTGTGAGTTTGAAATCCTGGAGGTTCTTCCATGTATATTTCTGTGTTAGGATCAAGGGTCCCATTTACAAAAGCATTATCAACATCAATTTGTTTGATTTTCCAAGCCTTGGTCAAAGCAATAGAAAGATGAGCCTTATAGTCACTGGTTTGATAATTGGACTAAAGACCTCTGTGAAGTCTACTCCTGCTACCTGAGTGTAGCCCTTGGCCACAAGTCTGGCCTTGTACCTGGAAATAGAACCATCTGCATTGTGCTTTACTTTGAACACCCATCTACAGCCTATAGGTTTTCTGTCAGATGGCAAGGGAACAACAGTCCAGGTCTTGTTTTTGAGAAGTGCTTGATACTCAGTTTCCATAGCTTCTTTCCAATGTGGTGTTAAAAAGGCCTCTTCAATAGTTTGAGGTTCATGTGCTGTAAAAGAAGAAGCATATACTTTGGGCTTGAAAATGCCCCTCTTTGATCTTGTCATCATATGATGAACAGGCTGGCCTGTGGTTTGAGTTGATGGCTGCAATGTCACAGGACTGGAAATCTCCATGTTAGTAGTGACTGCCTCTGTGTGGGGTGGTGAGGGTGAGAAAGAGTTATGAGAGGTTGAGGGGGATGAAGTAGTATGGTTTTGTGAAGGTGATGAAGAATGAGAAGGTGATGGTGAAGAATGCAGTGGTGAGTTTGGAGGTATAATGGTTACAGAAGGTGAAGTGTGTTCTGTGGATGTATTATGTGGCACTTGTGGGTGTGTGGTAGTGCAATGCAAGGGAGGGGGAAAAGAAAAACCAGAAACATCATAATGTTGCTCAATTTGCCTTGAAACATCTGTTTTCTTATAAGGGAAAAGAGACTCATCAAAAACCACATTTCTAGAAATAATGATTTTGTTATTTAAAAGAACTTTGTACCCCTTGTATTGAGAACTATACCCCAAAAACACCCCTGGAGTTGATCTTAAATCTAACTTGTCCTTAGTATAAGGTCTCATGTGGGGAAAACATCTATAACCAAAAACTCTAAGGTGCTTGTAGCTGGGAGTGTGGCCATAGAGTCTGTGATAAGGTGACTGATATGAGATGGTTTTATTTGGAATTCTGTTTATCAGGTATATGGCTGTAGAAAAAGCCTGTTCCCAGAACCTTTTAGGAATTCCTAAAGCTGACATCAAGCTAAGGGAAACTTCCACCACTTGTCTATGTTTCCTCTCAACTAATCCATTTTGTTGAGGAGTGTATGGACATGAGATTCTGTGATGGATCCCTTTTTCTAAAAATAAGGTGGACAATGGCTTGAATTCAGTGCCACCATCACTCTGAACAGCTTTAATCTTGAGGTTCAGCTGATTCTCAACTAAGTTTTGAAAGTGGACAAAAGCTTTATAAGTTTTAGATTTTTGTTTAAGGAAATATAACCAAGTGAATTTGGTGTAATCATCAACAAAGGCAGCATAATAAAGTGCTCCTGAGGTGGATTTAACAGGAGCTGGCCCCCAAAGGTCAGTGTGAATAAGTTCCAATGGCTTTTCAGTAGAATGAATTGAAGTATTGAAAGGCAAGACATGAGATTTAGCTTGAACACAATCTGAACAAAGAGTATTTTTATTCAAGGCATAACACAGATTACAAGCATCAAGAGCTCTTTTTGTGATATCAAAAGATGGATGTCCTAGCCTTCTATGCCATAACTCTAAGCCATTAACTGAACTAGTGAAATAACTAAACTTCTTGAGGTCTTTTTCTTCTTGATTTTGAAACTGAGAGATGGGAAATTTAGAATCTTCCTTTTTCAACTTGAAGGTATAAAGCCCATCTTTAAGGATTCCCTTGAGGAGTGGTATTCCTGTGTGCTGGTCCTTCACAACACAAAATGTGGCAAAGAATTCAAAGAAAACATTGTTATCTTTGGCAAATTGAGCAACACTAATCAAGTTCTTAGCTATCTCAGCCACATGAAGGAGTTTATTTAATTTGAATGTATGCAGTGAATTTGTGAGTAGTGTCTTACCAACATGAGAGATATCCAATCCTGATCCATTCCCAATCTGAAGTTTGTTGTTGCCTGTGTAATCTGATGCCACACTCAAGTTTGAAAAATCATTGGTAATGTGGTGAGAAGCACCAGAATCTGGAAACTACTCATTTTCACTGAGATTGCTTCCTGTGGCAAACATGGCTGAGGTGTGTCCAATGCTCCTGTTATCCCCAAAGTTCCTCTGATTTTGATTGTTGGGAACAAAGTCTGAGTTGAATCTGTTGTAACACTTATCAGCTGTATGATTAGTGTACCCACAAATCTGGCATTGGACTCTATTTTGAGGTGATCTTCATCTTCTACCTCTTCCACCTCTACCTTTGCCTCTGTAGCCGCCTCTTTCTCTTTGGTTACTGAATTGCTTGTTGACGAGTGTTTTCGGTCAACGGTTAAGATTAAGTGAATGGAAAGTACAGGA